ATCTATAAAAATAAAAAAATAATTTATTTTACTGATGAAAAAAATCTTTTTTAGTACTTATTATTCTCGATTCACACTATTCGATTTGAAATAACAGATGAAAAAACAACTGAATGTTTCAATTTGAAGTATATCTTTTTTTTTGTTTGCTGTTCTGTAGAAGAATGAATGTGTGCTTAGTAGCCGTCGATTTCTAGTGAAATAGACTAATGGTTATATTGACTAGACATGAAGTAAAATGAAACATTCAAATTCATTAATTTAGAACCTCTTCTTTTTCAAATAGTTTATTAAATGAACAATACTGTGAAAGATCTGGATAATCATTCCTTTTTAACATGACTTTAGTTTATCGATGGATGTATTCAAAATCAATAGTTGAAAAGATTGAATTTTCGTCATAGATTAATTGATTAATTAATATTGTTATTTTAATGAGAGCTTAGAAAAACTTTTTATTCAATATATTCAAACAGGCTTCCATCGAATCATTTTTGTTGAGAAACTATAGGATTATTTTATATATCTGATCATTGTTTTACTATGAATGATTATTTATTAATCATGCTGATGGTATTCACTGTGCAAATATATGGAAACTATTTTATTTAATCATTTTCTTTAGATATATTCAAATGATATTTGTAATAAAAACCTTGTACAAAGTGTTCGTAATAACAGTTATTTATTTTCAGAATCATCGTAGAGTCATTCTTTAGGAATAATTGTCGGATTTTAAAGTTTGATATTCGTTATTGGTATGATCAATTGTCCATGTTCTCAATTAAATCTTCAAAGGGTTAGTCTGATTTGTTGGGGACAAAAGGTCAAGAAAAAATTTTAAATTACATCAAAAAATAAAACTGCTTCGTACAGGATTTAAACCCGTGCTGCATTTGTTGTGCTGCCTTTGATCACTCGGCTAAATGCGAAGTGTTCTACTTTTGTTTCGTTCATATTTCCTTCTTCTTCGTCGATAAATTGATGTATTAGACTGGATTTGCCAGTGAGAATAAGAGGCTTAGTTCATTTAAATTAACATTTTCATCAATTAAATATCCTGCTTTTGATAGTAAATCATTTTCATGGCATTTGCTTGATTAGATGTTCATTTTAATCAATGACTGTGTAATACATCATTTTTTACGTACGTTTCATCATACAAAATGCCATTTTTTCGTATTATTCATATAAAATTCGTAAAAGCTTTTTCATTTTTTTAATTCCATGGGAAAACAAACTAAGCAAATTTATCAACATATCATTCATTAGTATTGATTTCCATAATTAGAACTATCGACATGCGTTTTATGAAAGATTCTGTTGGATTTTTTCAATAATTCGGTAACGTCCTGTTTATATTACGTAATTCAATTTAATTTTTTGGATGAATTCAAACATACATCAAAAGCAAGTAAAAACATATGATTATTATCAAAAACCATTTTATTTTAATGTCTAAATTGAAAAAGAGATAGAATGCAAGTTCCTAAAATATGATACACTATTCCACTGTGTTCAGTTCTGTGGTACAGAATCAAATGAGTATCAAGGTGAAACTTTCGAGAAATTTTCATGTTGGTACTTACTTGGTCCGTGGCACACTCTGGAATATCATATAGTCAAGAAATAGCCTTAGAAAAGACACTATTGCTAGTTATGAATGAAGTAACGATGAAAATTATTGATTATAGAAAATTGAAGAGTACCTATAACTGTGCTGAGCTGAGTTTAAAAACAAATATGTACATAAGTTTGTTTTAGAATATCCCATAAATGATAATGTCTGTAAGTAATCTATATTTCCCCCCAAGCATTATAACCAGTTTATAAACCCTTCAAACATCAAATTTTCATGAAACTTGATTTATTATTATATGTCATTCGATGCGCTGCAATTTATTCTACAAAACCACATGTATGGGTACCCTGATTCAAGATACATCATCACATCCGATGTGGTCCTTTAATTTCTCGTAGATCTATTCTATGAGTTCGAATTCTTTTGGAGCTAGTTTAGCTTAGAGATTCTCTCCTATATACCCAAAACATAAAATCAACCATGGCGAGTCATCTGAAATCATTTCCTCGCCAATGAATTCTTTCATCCAGCATTAAACATTTAATGAATTACTAGGCTATGTTTGACACCTCGCTTGTCAAACATAATTATTTGAATGCCGAAATCTTCGAAAGTAATTTTCCTATCAATAACATACAATATATTTATCGATTTATTTATTTGGCAACTAAGTACTTTTATCACAATAGACAATATACAAAATAATCGCCTCTAATAATCTTTATTAATTTAATTTCAAAGACTCGTGAGACATAAATAAAATAAAATAAGACTCCTAAATGGTCTTATTATCAAAAAATAATAATAATAATAATAATATTCTCTCTTTATCAATAAAAGAGAGAATAATATAATGTCAAATCTATTAAAATCTTCAAACAATAATATTCTAATATATTCTAATGTTGAATTGATTCAACGGTTAAAGCCATATTGTGTAACATGAGTTGATAGATCTTCTCTAGCAGCTAATAACAAAAAAGAAAAATAACAATAATAAATTTAATATAACGATAGAAATTTTAAAAAAAAAACAATAAAATTTCATACTTAAATAAAATGGACTATTATGATCAATTTGTTGTTCATTTTTATCTTCATAATTTATTACTGATAATGATCCATTAACAAGACTTTCATAGTTCGCATCATCATAATTATTATTCTTCATTTCACTATAAATTTGTTGTTGTAATGAATCATTGTAATCATAATTTTGTTCATCAATATTTACTGATGTTTGTTGTTGTTCATTACTGAATACATGAGGTGGAGACTAAATAACCAAAAAACTTATGATCAATATAAAAAAACAACAATAAACACATACAATATCTTCATTAATACCAAGTTCTTTGATTTGTTCTAATAATTGTTCCGTTTGAAGTAATGAATCTCCATAAGTTGCTGAATACTTATGTGGATCTTCAGGTGTAATGGCTAATCGTTCAAATTTACGAATAATTCGAGGTTGTATTGGTTCGTATCTTAAATAATTTAAAATTAAAAAAAAAATAATCATCATAAAGTTTTATGTATATATTACATTATGATAATATTTCTTGGTTTAGGATATGGTTTAGGTTCTTCAGCTCGTTGAACAATAACTTTACGTTTTGACATATTTTGATAAGGTATCCATCGTTCAATGATAACATCACGTGGTTTAGTTGGTAATGCAGGTATTTTTTCAATGATTACTGATCGTGGTGGTGGTGGAAGAGGAGGAAGAGTTTTTGTTACAACTTGTGCTAAATGAAGAAAATATTTTTTTTTTCAAAAAATCTAATGAAATTAGTACTAACGAATTGTAACATCGGGTATTGGTGGAGGTTTTTCACGTAGAATTATTGGTGATGGTGAACGAGGAGGTTCAGCACGTTGACGAATAATCTATGTAGAATATAAATATTTATTATTAAATAGATAGAGATTTAAAACTTACAAGAGGTGGTAATGGTGGAGGTTGAGGTGGTCGAACTTCACGAACGATTAAAGGTCCTTGTTGTATTGGTGGTGGTTGTAAAAATCGTACAAGAATTTTTTGATTATAAACAACTGGAGTGATCAAGGAAGGTTTTCGTATAATTTCTGGATTTGGATCATTATATAAATGTTTTGTGTGAATAATTGTTTCATAATCAATATCAGAATTGATTTCTTCAAATGATAAATCTTTATTATATTGATATGCATCATCTTTTTGTTGTATTTCAAGATTTACTGTTTTATTATTAGTTGAATCTAATTGTGATATATTTTGATATGAATGATCTATTCGTGGTGATTCACCTAATAATTGTTCCCAACTTTGAATACTTTCATTAGTATTTGTATGATGATAATTATAATCTTCATTATAATTATTAGGTATTGTTTGAAGATCAATAGCTGTTGTTTGATATGATTCTGAATATTGATATTCTCCATCAACATTAAATGATTGAGCATCATTATGATTTGATAATTGAGAATAACCATAAGATTGTTCCATTGTTGAATAAGTTATAGTAGATACTTGAGCGTTTTCGTTCGAATGAAATGTTATAGTTCCTTCTCGATGAAAATATTTATTTTCATCATGTGAAGTAACTGTATGCATCTACTCTTTCGATTCTTTCGGTAGATAATTGTTCTCACACGCTCAATGTGCATCGAGTCGATCGGAGACGACAATTTAGTAATTATTGGTCAACGATGACAAGTTGCTTTAATTGACTACATGTCATTGAAAACTCTTCTTTTTTTTTTCGTATGTAACCATTCTTTCTTTTCGTTTTCTTGTTACATATTTATAAATTGAGAGAAAAAAAGTTATGTTACATGAATAACAAAAAGATGAAAGTGTTGATGATTATTCATGTGTAACAAAAGATATATTATTATTCTCCTTGACATTACTATTTCGTACGATGAACTACAGTAGTATTCTATTTCATCGACAAGGTTTTCAACAATATCAAGGAAAGTACCGATAAAAAATATATCATTACAAATTTCTCTTGGTAATTATTTGCATCGTTGTCAATTATGTTCAGAAATTAGAAATACTTCTTTTTTTTTGATTTCATCACCAATCAAAACAAGGTTAAATGATATATTAGAGATAAAACAATACCCAATGTTTTTTTATTTTCTAAGAAAAAAAGAAAGAAAGTCGCACTAAAATCTATAATATATATGTAAATATTAGTCAAATGCAAGTTTTAAAATTTGAGCACATTCTTGTTGATGAACTTCGCCAATAGCTACTGCTGGTGTACCAAGTACATCTCGTCCGGCATATTTGAGCTACAATGAAACAAAACAAAAAAAATATTCAATATACATTTGGATAAATCTATTTCGGTCAATTTTTTTATTTATTCAAGAACTCTATAATTAGTGCGCAGGTTTAAATCTACTAATGTCCGCGCCAAAATAAAAGAGGGGTGAGTGTAAGCTCAATAACTCGACAACCGCAATACCTAGCTACCTGCGGTATTCACCAATCGAAAGAGGAGGAGCGGGCACGTCTTTTTCTTCGATAATGTATAAGACGAAATTCTNATTTGGAAGACAACCGACTCCAATTGAGGTAACCCTTTCCCTTCTCCACTGAAGGATACCGCCCTTCCTAATGATTCTGTTGTAGAAAAGAATGTATTGACTGAAATAAGTTTGTCTTTGCTATCTTTTAGGATTTCAAGCTCCGAAACAGATATTGTTTGACCTCGCCACAAAGTACCAGTAAATGGTCGATGAAGTTGCTTCAATTGATGATAAAGGTCAACAATAAAGAAGCGAAACTTAAAAATGATATCGATATTCTCTGTGCGAAAAGCTTTATTAAGTAAACGGTAAATGAATGAATCGCGTGTATACCAAGGAATACAACTGTCCGGTGTATAAGTTTGAAAGAACTCATTGATTCTTGCGAGTTCGAGTTGATTACCACAGTAGGCTCGCTCGCATTCATTTTGCATATCAATCTGTGCACTTCCATTCGGTGGCATACGAAGAAGTATTTGGAGTAATAAATGAAACCACATGAAGCGCCTCTCCTCAATTTTAAGAGAACGTATGGATACCTCTTTGCTGAGATCTGCACTAAACATACTCAACGGAGTTAAAGTTTTTGCGTGCATTGACACATCTTGAACTAAAGCAGTCAACAGATCATTTGTTGTCGTACAGACAGTGCGGACTTTATCATACGACTTCGCCCAAACAGTATGTTTCCGCTGATTAATACAAAAAACATAAACGACCTCGAGTTGCCGTAATGCATGAACATTTGGCACAAAGGATTCACCTAAATGACCACAAACAATAAGAAAGATCTTTTCCGTTTTCGAAGATTCAATGAACGCGCGGCAATCTTGCACATCGTGAAATGTGCGGGTAAAGCTAATGATCGTTTCCAGTTGTGACTGGCGCTCGACTACTTCAGCTTGTGTTTCTTCAGTTGCCATCATTTTTGGAGTGCGCGTGTCCAACCATACCAGAACAAAATCTTCGATTCCATTATCAAAACTATCAAATACACTGGGAGATTTGGAAGCCATTAAGATGTGTTCAGTATCTTCCTTGATCGATGAGCTTGAGAAATTTTATGCAGGATGAAAGCGAATTCACATTGAAATGCTCCGGTCTATTTCAGTTGTGCATTGCTACCATGGACGACATCATACATGTTTTTGTTGTTCTGCTGCTTTTCGTTATTTCTACACACGTGGCAACTACATTAAGTAAGAATAAAAAACAAAAAAGGTTTCTCAAGCAATATTGAGTTCAGCTATCGTCAAATCGCCCGAACCTTTGAAACATGCAGCCATTGTTATGGAATATTCGAAAGGAGATGACTTTCAGTGATATGTAAACTGAAAGCGCGCCAATATTAGTAACAGTAACACTTGAATGCCTTATAACAAGCTTCAATATATATTTTTGTACATGTATGTACGGATAGAAAAAAACAATGCTCTATTAGGGTGTGAGTGTGGGTGTGGGGTGGTGTTCTTTTATGCTGAACCAATCTCACCCCACACCTACACCCTCTAATTGCATCTTCAGATGCATTTTTTCAAGGGCTTTGATCTGGTATAAAACAGTTGATTATATAATCGATTCATTAGGTTATAAAGTGGGGGCGTTAAGATTTTGTTACACCCTGCAGTACAATTGTCTAGTCCTATCATGATTTGATCAAAAGAGTTTTCTAACTGATAACTTGAATCAATTTTTATCAGTGAACTTTCTGTCAACGAATTATCTTAAACTATTTATGTTCTCTATTCTTCAATGAGATAATATTAGAGGGTAATAATCAAAACGTATTTATTCCTTTAACAGAAATTAATGAAAAATAGTGACTAAAAATAACAATTTTTTTATGTATTTCATATCTGTCTGTTATTAATACAATGCAAAAACCGTGAATGTTTGTCATCGAATGGTATGAATGTTCCCCTGTTCAAAAAAGGCAGAAAACACATACATTGAATACACCAATAAAAGAGCAAGTCGAGTGCATGTAAATGTAAATGTGTGTCATTCTTGAGCGAACAAAACCTTACCATCGGAACAATTTCGATTTGATACACCGCGAAGATATGAATGCTTCATTGAGGTCCGTAACGATTCCTCCCAAAAGTCGATCCAACAAAATACATTAATAACAGTAAATTGCAATCATTATCAACAATTTTCTTTTTTTCAGTCTCCCGAATAAAGAAACTGCCTATATAGGTAACCCTGGACTTCAACTATAAATAAACTATCACCGACGTTCATACAGATCTTGGATAAATTAAAAAAAAACATCTTTACTAACTTTTTTATTATTCGACACGGAAACTGGCATCTATCAGAATTTGAATCCAATATTTATAACTACATTCCTCCCATCCAAACTCATATGACAACCGCTCACAAACACGAATATTATTTAAAAAAACATCCAAAAGTTGCAATAAAATTGTCCCTCTCCATCACCTCACGCAATTTCGCTATGACTAGGATATCACCGACCAATAAAATCAATGCCTCTTCATTCGATTAGAAAAAACGACCATGTCTCAATGCAGAGCAACAAAAATGTCTTCTCTCCATCAGTTCACCAGGTTCTGGCAATTCATATTCTTGACTCCGCATGTCATTTGAAGATTAAAACTGGCACATTTTCGTTTTCAAACAAACACATCAACTAAGACACACGATCATCACAAGATTTAAGTTCAGCCACAAGCCATATTCCGAATCAATATTCACGGTCTTTTCCGCTGTTGATTACGCTTAATAAGTTCCCATATGGTGTGAATGTGGTTGTATGGGTAATCTCTCTTAGTTCACACCAGCCCACACCCTTAGGACATAATAGAAGCACCCAGGGGCTTCTATTATGAGCGGGGCGGTACTGCAGTTTGCTATTTACACTTATATTTCATTTTAACATATCCTACAGTGACAAAATATTTTGAAAAATTGTAGTTTTAATCATCATTTTGTGACACGATTATTAAAGTTGTCATCCGTAATAAACTACCAATGATGTCAGACCATGAGAAGTTTGCAGATTGGGCCAAATGTTTAATGTGTGCTGTGCAACATGTTCGAAGCAAGTTGCCATCTATCACAAAATAGTGTTGGATGAAAACTTTAGCCATGTCGACAAGGACACATGACCATGCATAAAAACACATCTTAACCGTACGTAAAAAAATGCTTACCAAACGAGAGGAAAGAAAAATTTCACCATATTTGTGAAACAACGATGTCTTTTATTATTCTATTCTATGCTTCGTGTCTATATAAACTTGGATTCCTTTCTTGTGTATTCGTTCTTGGTGTTGTCATTTTCTGAAAAAGAAAAACGAATTCATGGAGCTTTACAATGAGTTGCTTTCATGAATTATATTTTTATCAAATATTAATTAATACATTTCTTTCCATGTATCCTAGATTGATTATGGACACAAGTGATTCATCAAATGAGAAACGAAGTCTATTGAGACGCAAATCATTCAAATTAAAAACCGATGATGTATTTCATTTTAATCCTTGCAGTACCGGCCTATTTTAAGTACTATATTGACAATATATATTTTCATAAAATATTTGTTTGTACTTTGGGATACTCTCCTGAGGAAATATGCTATTTTCATATTCGACGCAATAAAAAAAATTACTAGAATGACATTATTTATTCGCAGCAAGTGTTACAAAAAATACGTTTAACAGAATGTTCATCACAAACGAACGCAGAACAAACACTGCATTGAGTTGATGTTTTTTTGTCCTTTGAACGTTCACAAAAGGAACATCTTTTTTCGTTTTGCTTGAGCAGAATTGTCATTTATGATTGATATATTTCTCTTTATTACAGGATAACCGACGATAGCTAATGCATTTTGAATATCTGTATTCAGAAATTTTGAATTTTTTGAGCGAAAATCCAGCTGATGCGACACTAAAGCCATTCCTAATTCTTCGAGAAATAATCGACGTTTATGTTTTATATTTTGATTCCATTGAGGATTCTTTGTTTTCCAGATGATCATTGCGTTTATAGCAGCGATGTCTATCATTCCAAAAAAGATACAAAGTGGCCATCGCTTTGTACTTCTTTTCACCTATAAAAAATAAAATGCAGAAGCATAAAAAAAAATATTTTTTTACCGTATATTTGTGACATAATTGATCAATTGTGTCAACAGCTCCTTTTGTTTTATTATAATCCAAAATAATAATTGGTTTACCAGTTTGATTATCCACTTGACTATCATGATGTTTGGATGAAAGTAGTAACACGGCCTTGTTGTATTTAGGTACAAATGAAACTATAGTTAAACCATCCTGAAAACCAAACAACGAAGAGCCAACTTCGCGATTTTTACTTGACTGGAATTCTATAGGTATTTCCGGTTTATTTTTTCGCAATGTTCCTATAAGAGATAAACTTTTTGCTTGAAGTTCTTTGGCTAATGGAACAGTTGTAAAAACATTATCCATTGTAACATTTCTGCTTGAACCATAAAGTGGTTTGAGCAATTCTAAAACTACTCTGGCACCTATTTGGGTTTGTCTTTTTTCCGTCGGTTGTCGTCCAAGATAAGGAAATGCATTGAATACGTAATATGAATCTACATCAACACATAACCAAAATTTTAATCCATATTTATCAGGTTTCTTGGGCATATANGGTTTCGAAGAAAAAAGGATCTTCACTTGGGTACACGGTAAGATCCTTTAAAGGTTCCGGGTTTTTTTTATTCGTTTTTTGAAACTTTCAACACATTTGCAAACTTATTGTCATCTACCGAACCTTTTTTTGAGGTACCAGAAAGTATCTTTTTTTTACAGTGCAGAGCCATTATTAAATAGAACCGATCTGACAGATCTTGATATTAAGCTCGAAGTACATAATGTAACTTATTCTGCCGTTTGAGTATGGGAGTTTTATCAAAAGCTGACTTTCCACTAAGACAAATAACAGAATGATGATTTGAGCTGCAACTTAAAGAAAAATAAGGACCGAAAAAGAAATCTGAATCAAAGTAAGGAAACACACGACGATGGTATCCAAGGCAACAGACAAAAGTGACTTCCCAGTTACTGTGAGGATCAGAAACGATCCCAATAACGAGACTTCATCCAAATGTTGATTCTTGAGAAGGAATATGTGTATGGACAAGAAATGCTTCCAAAAATGGCAGTAGAAACCAATATTTTCTGTTATAGGCAGAAGGGGCTATTGCTCTCAGTTTTAACAGGATCGATGGTATAAACCAGTGTAGTATTGCTTGTGAAGCCTGTATATTTTATCTATTCTGTGCAACGATAGGGAGAAAAATAAAAATAAAACCATGATAGTATGCATGTTTTTTCAACCATCGATTAACTTTGTCTCTCTTCATTACTCAAGTTGTATAATCGATAAGTAAAAGAACAAGCAAAAGAATAACAACATTTTTGCGGGAAAAAAAACAGTATGTCTCAATAATATATGATTATGCTGTATCTCACATCTACGGTTGATTGCACGCAAGCCAAATATTTTTTTGATATGTATGGAAGTAATACAATGCTTTCATTTTCTTTATTAAAAAACATCAATACATTACCAACGTGTTGCATTCATTGTTATAATATACACCGCGTTAATACAAGAAGCAGACGTAAGTCTTTGGATATTGTAGTATTTCTCATAAATCTTTTTACTCTATCAGTATTCCAAAAAATTTTTTATTTTTAAATGATAACAGTAATTAAGTATAGTTTATGTGAGCTTTATAGTGTGTCTAAGTTAATGGAAAGAAGATAATGAAAGTGAATATTGGCAAATTTTGCAAATTTTTATGAAAATAATGATGAAGTTAGTGACTTTTTTCTCGTTAATATAGGCCACTTGTCGCTATTAGGGGATTTAATGAAAAGGATAGCAACTGATATGTTACTGAGATTGGTTCTGATTATTCGATAGTTACAAGAAACCCTTAGTGATTTGTATCCGTTCTAATATGATTCTGACGGACGCCGAAACTATTTGTTGTACATGGGTAGCTATTGGAATGTCTTGAAAAACTGCAAAGACAAGCAGATTAGAAACATCTCGACAATCATCTTCACAACTTTAAACGATCGAAGTGATTCGCGCCTTAAAGCCTTACATACTTGTCATAAAAATACCATTGGGATTTCACCAAGAGGTGCTTCCCATGTCAAATCTTCGTATCCCTGCAGATTTCAAAGGCATAATAAAAGCCAGCTATGTTCAAGGAAAGACAATAGTTTGTTTTGAAACGATAGGAGAATTGAAAAAAAATTGGGTAGATATTCTAACAATTTTCCAATAGAACTGATTTTGAGAGCGTATTTCTTCCACTTCTTTTATATGTTTATATTTGTGCTTTGAGGAAATTTATCCACAGATAGGGCAAGATTTTAAACTGGGATATGCCAATAAATTGTTATTTATTATTATCATTATTAACAGCCAATTTTTTAATCTTGTGTATGTTTGGAGAATCTTCAGTTCTTGTAATTTTCAGTTATGATAACTCGAAGAAAATAATAAAAAATTGATGTAAAAAAATGAAGCCATATGTTTTATGTTAAATGAATAATAAACAAACTGTTATTATAAGTGCTCTCATGTAAAACAAATCATTAAGGATTCATATTGCAACCATTCTGCAGATTTCGCTCACGAAAGATAAGTCTAAAAGCTATGTTTCTTTTTTTGAGAATGCTGCACTAATATTTAATGAGAAATTTCAATAAAACTCTGATTTTCCAGTTACAGTAGGAAATTGAAGAAATCAGAAATAGTTCATAATGACGCTTTGGTTTAGAAATTGTCATCGAGAATTCTCGTGCTACAGATCTAATAGTTTTTCAAATTAAGTCGAATTTGAGATTATGTGAAGTCTACATAAAAAAAAGGATGACGTTATGGAGAAATGGAATCAAAAACATAACAGTGGCTAGCCGTGAGAAGTACCTCGAAAGGTTCCCGACAAACAAGTAGCTGGTGCACTAAAAAGTTCCTTAAAGACACGCTTCAGACTATTTGTATTCATCAAACAAAGATCAGCAATCTTGGTCTAATGAGTTTGAATAAGGAGTTGCAGTTGCTGAGAACTGAGAACTGAGAAATATTTTGAAATAAAGTGTGAGAACTCTTTTTCTGCACGTGCACAATATTTTAATACTACATTTGGCGGAAAACGTCAGTCAGAGTTTTTTTATTCATGGTATCAAAAGTAGATATAAATGAAATAAACGTAAGTTTTTCTGCTTGTATGTGTTCTTGTCTGTATTCATTCAAATGTCGAAATGTATACGGATATATTCAAATTACTTATCTAATCTGATGGTTACTTTGAGTAGAAGTTTTTTTCAAGTATGGAAGTAGAATTGAACATTGATCTAGAATGATTCATTTTAACCTAGAAGTTCAATTGAACCCGTATTTTTGTAGCGCACACTCAAGTAAAAAGATATTGTTGGCTAATGTTTCGATAATCCAATGAATTTCTAGTAGAAATTTCAAGTAGTATGGCCTTGTTTTACAATAGTGTCGTGAATACGCTTTGTTTCGTGACCGCTGAGAAAATTGAACATAATCTGTTTTTTCTCGTGCATGTGAACATCGTCGCCATAGTGTAGTTCCTTGAAGCATTAAGTATCAATGTAAAAATATCAATTTGATTAGATGTATTTGTGATAAAAAAGTTCATTCTGACCCACATACAATTGTGCACAACGAGATTGACGATAAAATCAGCGCACGCACATCTATCCACTCTTTTGACACGTTGGATACTAGTTGTTGTTTTGAAGACTGTGAAACAGCATCAAACATCAAAGAGTCGAAAATATTGTCGAGGGTCGCGCGAGTCATACAGACAAGCGTTGCGTGTTCGATAAGTTTGTCTTTAAAAAGTTTATTGGAGTATTTTACAAAAAACAGATCAGAAAAATCTGGAACATATAATTTGATGCGTGCTCATCCCCCTCCCTTTCGCACCGCGGAAACCGTACTTCTTGACCTTGTTTTTATCAATTGTTATTCAGTAAAGCTTGTCAGCACAACTCCTTTGAAGCTGAGATGTGGAACTCACATATATCCTTCCAAGTTGTTATCCTAGTGCATTCCTTGTAAACTAAAAAGGACGTGTTTTTTTTAAATTTATGAATGCATCAGAATATTTTATAGAAACTAAGTCCTTTTGTGCGCGGTTGCTGAGATCTGTAATGAAGAGGTGTCTATAATTGGGGTATATCTTTAGTGTTTTCTTCACTGTTGATATGTGTATGTAATGGATTGGGGAAGAGAAAACCGGGAAAGCCTTGATCTTAAAACTTACACTCACTATTTTCTTCGAAAATATACGTGAATTTCACAAAATATTGACTCCTACTTTTCAAAATGAGTACTAATAGAAGCAGCATATATGATTACGAGACACTTATTATAAGTCTATCATTAGGATATTATTTCAGGTATTACCATATTGTATATAAGGATAGAACCTTTTTTCTATAAGACTATAGAGAAAGAAAGTTTCACTACGGTATACCTGATTTTAGCAAAGTTTTATGTACGAGCAACATAAGTGAAGAATTAATATCTGTTTACCAAGACGACATACGAAATAATTTTACCTGACGCAAAATACCTCATTTAACGTAGTTTTTAATGCTGATTTTTATTGTTGATCGTAAAATATAAGAGCAAATAGTTGAACAATGTAAAATCTCTACTACTAAAAATATAGAAACAGTAACATTTTTTGAGTTTTCTTCATATTTTCATAGGAAACGACATATCCACAAAAATTTATTTATATGGGTCCATAGAGCAAAAGATCTTCTATCAATCTGTATATTGGGCTTTCTGCATGAATTCCATTTTTGAAAGAGAAGATAATCAAACATTTTCCCATGTTTTAGCTATTGCACGGAAAAGTGTAGCTAATGAGATTCTAGTAAAAATAATTTAAATTTACCTTGAAAAGTGGATGACTTTGAAGATTTTCCAATGTTACACACGAATCTGGAGTTGACATTTTAATTAAAAAAATATTTAGATTCATATTTGCCAAAATAATGAAAATAATTACATTTGAAGTCGGAAAAAATAATCAAAAATGCATGGTTTCTTATTTTGTGAATTTTTCGCTAATTGTACGATCAATGACAGATTTTCTGGTAATCGAAATGATCAGCTCAAAAATTTCTATCAAATGATGCCATTTGAAGACCAATCGGCGATCACACATGTAACGTCAAGAGGAACTCAATAGAATTACTCAAATACTTTATAGAATGTGAATCAATGAAAAATTTAGTTGGCAATATAGATCTCACTTGACTCGGCTGTTATTGTCAAGCCATGAGGAGTATCAAATTAAAAATTATTTACATCAAGGCCAATTCATTTTTGATATGATTTATCCAACATTTGAGCTGAAAAAATGCGACGAACTATATATAGCAGTTCTCTTTTATTTCCAACAGTTTTTAATCATACATTTTTAAGGGAAGCCAAAAAATTATCGCTGAAATATAGCAGAAATATGAGAGTAAGAAAGTTTCTTATCAATCATGTTAGATGTTTTGCCTATATGAACAATTAGCGACTGTCAATACTTTGTTAATGCTGGTTGAGAACAGCTTGCCGATTGATGTGT